AACAAGGGATTTTCCAAGGGACAATTGTTGAACTCACTTTTGTGATTGAATCATCAATTCAAGCCAAACATTAATCAAATAGGAACAATTTCACTCAAAGTATACCTAGACACAGGAGAACTATTGTTGTGGAAGTGTTGTACAGTCGATTACGAATTTAGATTGCAGAGAGTTTGTTCTGAGCGCTAAAGGCACTCACAATAGAGCACATTTTACTTTATTCTAACAGAAAAAGCAGGAGTCTGTTGGATATATTAGGATTTTTGAAGTACATATTTGGATAAACGAGAAAAAGAGAATACATGTGAACAATAGAGAAAAGATGTTGACTGATACGACTAAAGATGAGGACTGATATGACTAAAAATATCGCTCGTGGCGAGTCAGAAAAAGGATTATATTTCTATGGAAATCATCCTATTGATGATTTAAGAAAGTAAGATTCAAGCAAGACCCAAAGTTGGATACTAATCAAAGTACCAACTACAGTGGAAGGTGAACGGATAAACAAGTTGAACTTGCAGCATATCAGGCTGACAAAGAGAGAATTCTGAGAATTTCCACTGAGCTGGAGAAGAAAGAGTCAAAGTCAAAAGTTGACAGATTGTTCTCACTTTTTAAAATATATCACAGTCAAAGTCAAAAGTTGACAGATTGTTCTCACTTTTTAAAATATATCACAAGCAACGAGTGAATTGGTTGATAAAGTAGGATCTCTGATAGATCTATATACTTCTATATACCATAAATTCATATAATTAGAAGGCAACAATACCTGGACCGCTAAATCACAGTCAATTGAACAGGTAGATTGCAGGCGGTAGTGGATCGCTTACTTCTAACAAATAGATCCCAGACCAGCCGCTTGGACAAGGCTAGGTCAATTGCTTGGTGGTGTCTCTTCCTATATTCCGAAAAAAAACAAAAATACAAAAACAACACGCATCTCCAGGTCCTCAAAACATCACTTTCGGTACTTCGCCTACACGATTTTTCTGTAGCGAAACGAAACTCGCTCCTCCTTTTTGCATCAAAACTGACAATGGGAAAGTCGAAGAACAACAAGAAAGTGGCAATC